CTAATCTGCATGGTTGGTGTAACTTAGTTGATAAGTTAATTAAACTTTTAAAAACATTAGTACTTAGTAGCGATGCACTGAGGTTTTCAGAGTAGGTTTCAGGACAAAGTTACGCCGATGTTAAGATAACATTTAAGGGAAAAATAAAATAATTGACTTTAGGGGGAAGCATTACGCTAAGGCATGTTTGACACGTTTAGGTCCTGAAGCAAGCTGATTCCTTGTTGTCTGAGGAACTCAATCAGCTTAGCTTTCATAATAATACATTATATATTCCCCAACCGACGACCCAGATTGTTAACTTTTTACAAGTGACAAAGCACTCTGCACTCCACCATGGAGCCACAAAAATCCCGAGGCAACCGTCTCTTAGTGTTTGCACTCTTAATCAACTTAATTTTGACCATAACGTCTGTCGGAACCGTAATTTACAAACTGAAGATACTGGAAAACCAATTATTACAGCTTCAGTCAAGGCCATCGGTGGTATTACAGACTGAAACCTCTAACAATGGAGATGACGAAGAACGCGAATTAACACAACGAAGGAAAAGGGAGTATGAGTATTTTGGAGAAGCTAAAAGCTGCATCAGCTGCCACAATGCTTGCATGCAACTGTTTGGTTTGGGAGCATCTGCGAAGGTATGTTTATTGAGATACTGTATTTAAAATCTTATAGTAAACAATGCATGGTCGTGTTTCCTACTTCACTAATTTGCGAGCAAGTGAAGCCTGTGGGTTGAATCCTTCAGTGACTAATGCTAAAATAAAAGTTAATCCTATTGAGCGCAGGACCGTTTTAAGCGCATGCAGTTGCACACACTGCGATTGTTCTAGCACTGGCAAGTCTTTTGACGACCGTGGAAATGAATAAGCTCGTCGTCATTATTTCCTTTTTATACTGGTTTTTCAACGTTTTGCGAGATTTTCTTCAGCTTTTTTCCCGCTGTTATTGTTTATTAACACAGCAAATAACTGTGGACCGTTACTTTTATCATTTTATCAGCTCAATACAGAGCTTCCAACAAAAAGAAACATATGAAGCAAAGTTGATGTATGTGACCAATAGTAAGAGTGATGTTCCAATGTATCTGATATTATTGGCTCGTTGGACGAGACACATAGTAATCAAGTGCACAATCTCCTTTTGCGAAGCTTTCTTTCCTCCCATATTTAATCGGTCTCATTCTCTTAGTCTTCCAGTCAGCCCAAGTCGTTTTTAGAAAGTATTAACCGGATATTTACTGATCCAGATTTACTGACCAAAGATCCGATATTATCGACGTGATTTTCCCTTTATCAGAACTTTGTGCTTTGTGCTACATCACCTCGCAGAAGGCTATTTTTACACAGGCTTACATGTTTGCCATTATTCCGAGACAAAAAGCAGCTACTAAAATATAATACTTTCTTCTACTCGCTCGACAAATTTTGGAGGAACAATCTTGCTATTAATGATTTCAACGGCTATCGCCTAATTGGAAGGTCACGCGATTATCTAAGAGCTGTCTATTTGGGACAAAGAATTGAGTTTCACAAAAACAGGAAACCTATCACTTTTTTTCATCTGTTATTTTATTTCGTGCTAGGTCACAGTAAACGCAGCAAGCAATGGCACAGAAAAAGACGTAGTCTGCATGAGAGGTGAGAAACTTGATTGAAAATGCTAACGTCAAACAAGTGCCTTGAAGAAATGACGCCTACTGCTATCCTTTTGTTTAAAGATATACAGCTATTAAGATTAACCGGCTTCCACTAGCCCGGCGGATCCTAGCCCCCCCACCCCCCCCACCCCCTCCTCATTACAGGCGCGTCATTTTTGTGTGATCGGTATAGTTAATTACCAAGTAAATATCGCATACATGTATTTGAAAATATTACATTTACCTTGGAGGCGGGAAATTATGAATAGTGACTGAAATCTTTAATTACTTGTGATTGTCCTTTCTGTATAAAACCCTGTACATGAGTTTTTATCCTGTAAAGTTTTTGGCACCGGTAGTAACAATCGTGATGACTTTTTGCAGGAGAACGGGGGCCCCAAGGGAAAAATGGTCGCCGTGGACAACGAGGCAGGCCAGGTTACATTGGAAGAGCGGGTAAACGAGGTCCACCTGGCGAAAGAGGACCCAGAGGACGCAGAGGAAGACCTGGAAAAGCTTTTACAGGAAACACGTCTGAAATGATCGAAGACATAGGTAATACTGAATTTCAGGGAAAGGGCTCTATATAAACCTCAATATGAGTCAGAGCTTGCTGTAAGTTTGATTGTTCGACGTTACGAGTGAAAAAGTTCGGCTCATAAAACACAAAACAAACTTTTAAAGTTCAGAAAAGTGTACTTCTTCAATCGTTTAACAGCCTTAAATTCCCTCTTCTCCTTAGGTATTTTTTTGTGTGTTTTTTTATATACTTCCTGAATATTTATTACTTATTCTTTTGTTTATTTTCTAAAATATCGCCATATCCGTATGCGTTAATGTGATAAATAAGAAGAAGATCAAAAATGCGTGAAGCAAACATTGGGGTAAGAAGAGTAGGGACTAACAAAGAACCATTTTGTTTACTTCAGTGAAGTAATGCAATACAAGAGCTGCAGCTAATTTGCTTTCATACTGACAAAGGTGATCTAAATTCATATTCATAGAGCTGCCCAGAATCAAGAAACGACCTCCTTCAAATCTCACCACAATAGAAGGAAAGAATATCTCTCTTCCATGCCACTCAAAGGGTTTCCCTAAGCCAGAGGTTACTTGGTATAAGGACGGTAAAATGATTGACAGTAGTAATTACGATGCTGCCATGGGAACGCTGACGTTTCTCAGCATTCAGTTCGCCGACAGAGGCTTGTACAAGTGCGAGGCGAGGAATTTCTTGGGAGTTGATTCTGCGACTGTCGAGATTATTGTAGTAGGTATGAGACTCTAATCTAAACTATACTTTAAACTGTACATTTAAATTGTGGCAAAAATTTTATATAGAACATACACAACAAGTACTTCACACGGTTAGTATTCAAGTAAGCTTTTGATAGATTTTGCTAGCATAATTTTTGGTATAATTCGTCCTTGCCAGGAACATATTTTTTGTAGCAAAAAATTGTCCTTTATTGATCATGTAACCAATCTTTTTTGGCCCTAGATCAGTGTTACAGGCAATTTTAAGCAACAAAATCAATTTTGGGCTGCTTATTGTCATATTCATCGGACCTGGCCATGGGTTCCACATGAAGTGACCAGGACCTTTCAGCAGGACTCAACGGATGCGCATACAGCCTAACCTCTCCTTACAGACACCGTCTCTATAATACTGACACCTCTCTATTACGGACAGTTCGTTTGGTCCCAGAAATGCCAAAATCATACATTCCCAACCTCTATAATACAAACACCTCTGTAAATCGGACACTTGCTTCTGTCCCTTTGGTGTCCGTATTAAAGAGGTTTGACCGTATTAAACTAGCTCCGTTACCCAAGATGGCGTCCGCGAGGTGGTTGTCAGTTGTTTGTATGAGTTATTTTAGTTGTCAGGCAATAAATAATACACCCTCAAAGTTTCAAAATGTAAATGGCGTAAATGTGTTTGTTTGTTTATTGCATAGTAATTGCGATGTTTTCACCTAATCTTTAAATTAATAAAAAGTAAAAAGTGCAATCATAATTTCTCCATTTTTTTGCTAATGAGCACAATTTACAAAAAAAAAATAGCATTATTATAGGAAACGAGCACTGCCAGTAGCATATTATGCTAAATTTGCGAACACAATCTATCAATGCCTATAACCAGGTCGGTAACTCCAAAATCTGCGTAAAAAATTAATTTACGAACAGAATAATATCTTTTTGGTGGTTGTTTTTATTCCATGCTTAATAATCTTACACTTCTTTTGCAGTGCCGCCACGCTTTGTAGAAGCCCCCGAAGTGTATCACATGGGATACGAGACCTGGGATACGACATTAACGTGCAACATCTTTGGATATCCACCTCCGGAAATAATATGGACTCGGTCATTCCGGACATTATCTGATGGTCGCCACGTGATGGCTGGGAAAGATCTCATTATCTAGGAAACTCGCTGGGAAGACAGAGGACCAATCATGTGCAGAGGAGATAACAACCTGGGTCACGTGTATGCGCTGATTGTCCTTGTGGTGAAACCTGTTTGTAAGTGGTCGAGAAAATAGCCATACTCACGCGATGCCATTACTTTGCTTTTTTTGTTTTAGATAAGATAACAACAAAAACAGCGACA